AAATGTTATTTACTTTAAGATTAGTTGTTTCTTCACTTTTGCTCACCAAAGAATGCTGTTGTCTGATACAAACGGTGATATGTCCTGAGTTTTCACATCTATATGTGAATACCAGGAAAAGAAAGCTGAAATTCTTAACTCTTGTCTCATACTCATCTTTTGATTTTAAACCCAAATGTCTTCAGTGAACGACAAAAACAAAGAAATTTGCCTTACTGTTCCAATACTTTTGGAGGGGACTGTAATTCTTGGTGTCTTTCAAATTGGTGAAATCGTAGTTGAGTTGTGGGTGAAAGACTTCATCCTCGTTGATGAAGTGACTTCCTCCTGATAATACACCACTAATGTCCACGTGGTTGCAGGGCTCTCAAGTTTTATCAAAAGTATGGAGTGAGATAACCCAGTCATAGCGCCACCTGCCGGCAACAGGAAGTGACCTTTAACAATGCAGCCCCCGCCGCACATTTTGCCGCGTGTTAGAGGAGGACTAACTCAAATATTTGCAGCAGTGGCCCCTCGGCCCAGCCAATTCTCTCAAGTTTTTACTAGCAGTTAAATTTTACCTATAGATAACAACTGACCCGAACAAATAGAAATGATAACAATAGATAAATCTGATAAAAGACTATTCATATATAAAACTTGTATTTCAAAAATACAAATGTATCAAAACTAAAAAGACATTTGGCTATGTGTGTAGCAGTGCTGTACACATAGGCCTACAGCAGGATTGCAGAACTTGCCCTATGCTTGTATGTCAAGTTGTGTGTGTGTGATACACATTTCATCTTATGAATAGTGTTTTGTGTTATAATTGTTTTGTTGCACATTTTAATACCTTGACAGGGGTAGGGGGCTCCCACTTGAAGAACTGTGCCTCAAGGCCAGCCATTTTCACCATCTTGATGGATGATAGCTTTCCGTCCAGAGCCAAAATATAGAAAAACATCTCTAGTCCTTTCCTTAGTTTCAGGTAGCCAAAACAAAGCCCAGTGGTGGACAGTATCAAAGTAGGTTGCATAGTTTTTGACTGCATTTTCAATAATAATTTTGCACACATTTGTCTGTGCTCCCCAACATCAGCCGCTCTCACTATCTTTGATCACAGGCAAGTGATTTCGTCTAGGAATTGTAAAATCAAAATGCTAAAAAAAAAAACTACAGTTACCGCATTCATGGAGTCTAGCACTTCCAACTTCCATTCCGTGTGTGCACATGCATTGATGTTGCCTGGTAAGGAACGTGCTTGCAGCAAAAACAACAATTTTTTAATTTCTGATCGACCTAAAGGCTCTGGCATTTAGTAGGCTACAGGGCAAGCTATGAACTCGGCACAAAAATGATTGTCCTTTAATTGAATTGAGCGGGACAACCTCTCAACCTGATGATCCCTGTCATCACACGCGACTGGTCGCATGCACACACACATTAACACAGCGTTCAGTCAGTGCGTGAGTGTGCGAGGCCGAGCAGTGTGGAAAGAAAATGCACAGCAGAACGAGAGAAAGAAAAAAAGCAGAGCTGAGACAGAGAAAAGCCAGGAGGAAAGTGCCCTTAAATGCTGGAAAATTACAGATATCTTTATGATTCTCAGCATGAGAAATACAAGGTGTGGCGTGTGAGCGTGTGAACTGGCTGAAAATAAGTAATTTTAGTAAGCCGACATGTTCATACACTGGGTGTTCCTAGAGGTGAATAGTTGTTTAGTTATTGTTGATGTAGGCCTAACCTTACAAGCACTGTCAGCTTCTTGTATGAAACCAATGATGGAGGTAGAGGTGGAGGCTGATGGACCTGCTATGAAATAATAAAAAATATAAATAAATTGACTGAACTGAAATGACTGACTTGTGTTATTAGATGTGGAGGATCTTTGGATAAGATGTCTTTTCAACACTGGCAGCTTTGGAGGAGGCTCCATGATGTTTCTCAACAATCAGTCCTTTAAAACAGCTACTACACACTCCCTACCTGACAGATTTGATATATAATGAAAGAACAGGGCATCTCTATAGGTTTAACTAAAACACATAGCTGCTTGGGTGATATGACCTGTTGAAACCTCACCTATCTGGTTTTGTTCTGTTAAATGCTTCATAACTTTAGATTTGAACAGCTCAGCTCCAGAGATTGTTAGATAGAAAAAAGATTGAATTAAATTGAAGATGACCCATGTCCTAATGACACTATTAACCTAATCAACTGATACTAATACGATACGTTAATCCTGTGGTATAATATTAATACTATACAACGTTTATGTAGTTTGTAAAAAAAAATTGTGATGCTAATCGCGGTTAGCATGTTAGCAAGATATAGCGTTAGCATTGTTAATACCCGCACGGCTAACTAAGGCTAAAGTAAGACCTTTAGTGCAGATTATCTAAAAATGTATTAATAATTATACAATTATTACTAGTGATCAGTTAGTTAATAATCGCTAAATTATCTTAAATCAATCAGTCAGTCTCATATCTAAAGGGTCAATTCTCTTGGCAGGGACGTGGAAATAGGCTACACACACACTTTCTTGATTACAGTGAATTTATTAACTAACTAAAGCGATATAAAAGGTGGTTAAAATACATCAGGGAAAATAAGCAATGGGTAAATGAGAATGGAGGTTCGATTGTGGGAAGCATTTGACTCATACGGCAGAGGAGAACTAATGAAAGTAAGCTATGAGTTTAGGAGTTAAAAAGACAATATTAATATTATCCCTGAGCACAGAATGCTTTGTTCGGTCTTACTGCTTGTCAACGGCCTGCTTTGGTCTGTTGCATGGGTCCCACGCTAGCTGTCCGATCCTGGCTTTTTGCTAGGGATTCTCCGGGGTTCTCCGTGTCTGAAGAAAAACCTCAAGGGTTGGCTGTCCTCCGTCTAGCAATTCGGCTGTTTTCAGGTTTCCTTCATTGCCGCTGGCGAGACCACGTGCCTTGGTCTGACCTCTGTGAAGTTGGCTCGACGAAAAAGCTTAAAAAGGGAACTTGGTAGTTCCTGAATTAGTCCAGTGTAACTTAACTTTAACAAAACAAAAGAAAGAAAGAAAGAAAATAAAACAAACTGAGGGGCAAATCGATGTCGCGGCACTTCGCGTGTGTAGCTTCAAGCGAAACAAAGGCTTCGTTGCGCTGGTCGAACTCTCAGTGGTCAAACAGTTGTACCGTTCTAAGTTAAGCATTTGGTAACAGGAAAACAATTGTCGCATTATTGGTCCTGTTAAATGTGTGACATCTATACATTAACGGCATTTCCGACGATGGTATGTAATACTTATTTTGTCCACTTGGGGGAGCTCAGGTTACATGAGGAAAGCTTAGATTAATCCAAAACAATCTTTCCTTAGGAACTGGGGAATTTAGTTATTTAGCCTTATATTCAAGCCGGCGATTAATATAGTATGAGTATAGTATGACATTTCTTTATCATCATTTCTAAAGGAATTGTGTGAGAAAGTATTGTGAACAAGCATTGGTTACACATAAGATGAAGGAGTGTCCTTAATCTTGCTGAAAATAAAAACACTGCAAAAGTAACTTATTTAGATTCTTTTCAGCACAAATATCAACAACAGATAGCAACAACATGGTAACATGACTACTCAAATAGAGGCAAACGTAATCAAGTAACTAAAAGATTTAATTAAATAGGTAATGCTTTGAGTCTTTGGAGACTGCAGTCTTTGTTTACACAAAGTTCAGGACGGTCCGTGGTGCTCTGGATTTTGTCACTTAGGCGTGAAGGGGTATCCCTTTGATGGGGTAATGAAACCCATAAAGGTATAACTTTCTAAGTATTATGACATCTTCTGTTTTTTGATTAGAGTATAACATCATTTCAGGGGTAGCGTATTCTGATAACTGACTAATATCCCCCATCAAATAATGCTCCCACTACAGAATCATTTTATATTGTACCACTACTCACTCCATGTGTACTGAAAGGAGATGGGGAGCATGTTCAAATATTATATTATGACATCTTTATTTGAAATATCAGGGATACCATATTGGTCCGTGTACTTTGCAGCCAACGGATTTTCGTTTTGAAACGCGAGAATGCTGCTATAGATTGCAAAATATTCAACTTCAAAAAGGGGTCGGACCACAAAAAAGGTTAAGAACCCCTGCCCTAAGACTTGACCGTGACATTGAGAATACAGGCAAACAGAACGGCAGTGGCATCTGCCTCTATGTAAATACACACTGGTGCTCAACGGTTATCGTTAGAAATTTTGTACCACTGACGTTGAACTTTTGGCCGTCTCTCTTCGCCCCTTCTACTTGCTTAGAGAATTTCCACAGCTCTTTTTTATTTTGGTATATAGTCATCCCAGATCAAATGCAACCACAGCCATGGAACAGATTAAGTGGACAGTTGATAGTTATTTCACCGGACTCACCCAAATCCATCCTGGGGGATTTTAATCATTGTTCACTTGATAAACTCTTAAATAATTTTAACCAATATGTCACCTGCACTACCTGCTTGGGGTAGTGGATAAATGCTATGGTACAGTTCCACAGGCATATAAATCTTTTGCCCTACCACCTCTTGGTTCAACTGACCACCGTACTATTTTTTTGGCCCCAGTTTACCTGCCGGTTGTAAAGAGGACTAAGAAGGAAATTAAAACTATTCAACAGTGGATCATGGCATTGATAGGCTACAGGGATGTTTTGAAGCTACTGATAGGAATAATTTGATAGAACATTAATGAGCAAGTGGATACGGTCTCATATATCTCCTTCTGTGTGGGCACTATCATCCCCATCAAAAAAGTTACTATCTTTCCTAACAACAAACCTTGGGTGACCAAAGAACTAAAGATAATCCTCAACAAGAAAAAGAGTGTTCTTCACTGGCTCTGAAAATGAAAAAAGGAGGTTAATGGAGAATTTATGGATGGCATCAAAATTGCTAAACTGAAATGTAAAGACAAGGTGGAATAATCATTTACAAAAGGGGACCTCCGGACAGCTTGGCAAGGTATTAAGAACATGGCAGCTGTGAATACTGTCCCCACTTCCTGCAAGCTCATTCAGGTTGCAAGCAGTAGTCCAGCAGCCCTCCCCAATGACCTCATCTCCTTTTTCACAAGGTTTGAGACAGATAACATTCAGCTAAAGGAAGTTCTCTCCAAATTCAAACCTGGTGACTCCTCCCTCACCATTAACATAAAGGATTTGGTGGGAGCCCTCAAGAAGACAAAAGTTAACACAGCAACAGGCCCGGATAACATCAGTGGTCGTACTATGAAGTACTGTGCTGAGCAGCTGTGCGGCGTGTTCCAGTTGTTCCAGAGATCCCTGGATGATGGCACAGTCCCCCAGCTGTGGAAGGATTCCAAAGTTATTCCAAAGTTACATCAAGATCAGGCCAGTGGCTCTCACCTCTCTAATTGTAAAAGCTATGGAGTGGGTCATCAAATCTCATATTATTAACATAACAGACTCACAGATGGACCCACTTCAGTTTGCTTATTGCGCAGGTAGAGGGGTGGACGATGCAAAGGTTTTTAGACACCATCCATAAACATCTGGATTTTCCCAACACGACAGCCAGACTTCTTTTTGCTGATTTCTCCTCGGCATTTAACACTCTGCAGCCACATATATGGAGAAACTTTTCACTTTCCATCTAGACGACTGACTGGTTTTGTGGATAATCGACTTCCTTTCCAACAGTTCACAGAGAGTCCTGGTCATTCTCTTGCAGGTTTTGTTGTTTTCTGTAATTGGTGTTTCCTTCTGCTATTTCCTGTTGTCCCCACCCCCCATCCTTGTTCTCTTGCAGGTGTTGTCCTTTCTCTGGGCTGTCTGTTTGTGTGGTGTTTCTTTTCCCCATCCCCATGTCTGGCCCGTCTGGCCCAGTGACAAATAAATTTAAATAAATAATAAAACAGTCAAAGAAATATATTAATACTCTCTTGTTGAAGTAAAATTTGTCTGACACAATATGGTATCCAGCTCCTCATACTCTTTACCAGGCTGCCTGGCATGCAGGAGAGGTTTAAAATAAATAAATAAATAAATAATTGATGACATTTGGAAAACTAAAGCTCAGTTCACACCACACGATTTTAAGCCCAATTTGCCAGTCGCTGGGCTCACCAACCGTCGGACTGTGATCGGGGGTCAATCAGCGATTGTTTGACAGTCGCCAGTTGTTATGTGTGAACTACTCAACTATGCATCAAAACGGCTCTGTGATGCATCGCTGACACATCACCGACGCCAGTCAGATTTCAAGCATGCCAAATATCTGGAGGAGTCGGCTGACTTGACATCCACATCCAGCCAATGACAGCAAGCAGCTGGCAGAGCAGGTAGCTACTTTTTTGACGACAAAACACTAGCTGTTACATGTGTAGTTCATTTCCCGTTTCATATGTTTTCTTGACAAAACATGGTTTGAGACCAGCCATCGGGTGACAGAGTTATTGTAAGCTCACGTAGTATGTGACCCCCTGTGACCGGTCAGTCACGTAGTGTGAACAACAACTTCAAGACTCCCGTACTACGACAGCAAGTCATGTAGTCTGAACAGCGCACTAGTATTGTTTACTGGCCAAAACTGCTCCCAATAATGACAAAACAGAGATGGTAGCAGTTAGCATTAGCTGCATTGTACCACATTGTGCCACTTTACAACACACACGTCAACTACCTGTAAAACTGGTCTCACAAAAAGATTTACAATGTGTTAACCGTCAGCATCCAATTTATAAATAAATCAATCAACTTCAGGAAGAAACCACACCTCTCTGGCACCACTGCAACTATGACTGAAGTATTTCTGAGAAAGAACACACCCTCATTCTTATTACCTTTCTGTTACATCTTGTTTGAGTTGTTTGTTTGCTTTGTATTGTGACAATGTGTTGAGCTTCAGCATCAAATTTACAAAGAAAGCAACCAACTCCAGGAAGAAACCCCACCTCTCTGGCACAACTGCAACTATGACCCTGAAGTATTTCAGAAAAAGAGCACACCCTCATTCTGATTACCTTTCTGCTCTTTAAGACATATGTTTTTGCATCAAGACCAGGGATGCACCAAAATGAAATTTCTTGCCGAAGCTGAAACCGAATATAATGAAAAAAATAGCTGCATAGCTGCATTCACATTTTTTCAATTTATGTTGCTTTTTTTTGTACTGTTGCATAAATTAAATAGTCAAAATGTGCTTTTTACTCAGTAGCTGCTTTCATACAGAGATTCCATGTCCACCATTATGCCACAATCACTCATTCGGCGTAATCCCACAACCGTGTGTGCTTTCACATACTGTTTCAGCTTTCCATGGTTATCTCCACTCATCCAGTCAATTTTCTAAATAAAATACCCTGTGCAGATTCACTATCATAAAACAACAATAAACACTGTTAAAATAGACACAAAAAGAAACCATTTAACTATGTAGCATAACACTGATTACCAAATCAACAAAATCTAAAACATGTCAGAAAAATCAGGCAGGCAAAATGCTCTTATTCTGAAATGTTCCCTATGGATATGCAGCCTGAAGTTGACGGAACGAAACGGGATCAGAGAGAGCTGTGGGGAAGGTAGTAGAAGCACAAAAATAACAAATAAACAACAAGTCAGTGCTGAGACACTTCCAGTGGACAGTGGTGATGCTGGACTGGGGACCTAACAAAACCGTGGCGCAGCCGGAGTTGGTGGACTTTCAGAGTTAGACTGTTGAAAAAAGACCGCGAACAGCTTGAAACATCACTCCTGTTCCGGCATGCCAGTGTTTTGACAATATATGCTGCTTTGTCGAAAAATGCTACCATAGTGCAAATCGATAGCTAAGTCTATCGAGTGAACATGCAACCTTATGTGTTCCCTTTTCCAATCCCATAAAGTTATAACTCTCACATAATACTGTGAGAGTTATAACCTTACAGCACAGTCCAGGAACGCCAAACTGTTGCTGTGGACATATTCTCGTGTGAACTTGATGTTACTGTCCACAGAGTTGATATGTTCTGGTGGTTCTAATGACCATGACGACTGTCGTTACGACAGCCAGGAGCACCAACGAACCAGCGGCCTTGGCTGAGGGACGAAACGTCTTCTAGTTACTATGACCTGGATGACTAGCAACTTCTTGCTAATCATTTTGGGATGAACACCCTCAGATTGGTACGGGAGTATGAAAGGATAGCCGGTAAAGTTGCAGACTACAGAAAACACCTAAGATTTGATCTAAGATTTGATCTGAGAAAGCACACAACGGCAGCTACTGAATGAGAGGGTCAGACAGATCCATTTCACCATTGAAGCTCTGAATAAGGAATCAAAACTTACACCAAAACCTGGTCATGGATTTCATCAAGAAAGCACATCTTAACACAATGAGAGCAAATAAAGACAGACCCGAAAATTCCAAACCTACAGACAAGAGCCAGCAACGCAAACAAAACAGGAGAATTGGGGGAATTGGGGATAGGGAACTCACCCAACCAGAACAAGATGTTTTGGCCAAAGGACTAAACACCACAGCAGCTACCTACAGTGGACCTCATCACAGCTACAGATTCAACTATTAGGAAAAACAAATTAACAGAAACAGATGCAGAACAGCTCAGGCTAAAGGTATCGGCAGCCCTTTCTAATGCGAAGGCACCCCCTTCCAACCTCACCATCCAAGAAAGGAGAGCTGTGACATCACTGAGCAAGGATCAAAACACCATCACCATCTTTCCTGGCGGACAAAGGAAGATGCACGGTAGTCCTTAATAGGACAAAGTCAACACACTACTAATGGACACCAACACATATAAAACACTGAAGCAGGACCCGCTTCAACTTCAGAAAGAAAACATCACCCGGGAACAGTATTACTGTTTGTATCCTGGAGAAGCCATTCCTTGCTTATATGGACTAACCAAAATACACAAAGAAGGAGCCCCACTAAGGCCTATTATCAGCAGCATCAACTCCATCACCTAAAACATTGCCAAACACATATACCATTTTAGCCCCTTTGGTTGGTAACACGCCCCACCACATCCAAAACTCCATTGACTTTGTAAACAAAGTTCGAGGACTGAAACTGGACTCAGATGAAACCATGGTGTCCTATGATGGGACATCTTTTGTTTACCTGCATCCCCACCATGGAGGCCGTAGAAACAGTAAGGAAAAGGCTACTACAAGACCACACCCTGGCCAACAGAACTGGCCTTAGCCCTGACCAGGTCTGTAAAATACTCGACCTCTGTCTAAATACCACCAATTTCCAATACAACGGAGGATTCTACAGACAAAAGCATGGCTGTGCCATGGGCTCACCTGTGTCACCCATGGACTACATCTATATGGAAGAAGTTGAGGAAAAAGCCCTCAACTCCTTCATAGGAAAAGCCCCGAGCCACTGGTACAGGTATGTGGATGACACTTGGGTTAAAATAAAAACCCAGGAAGTGCAAGCCTTCACAGAACATATGAACTCTGTGGACAGTAACATCAAGTTCACATGAGAAGATGTTCGCAACAACAGTTTGGTGTTCCTGGACTGTGCTGTACACATTGAAGATGACAGAAGCCTGCAAATTGGGGTTTACAGGAAACCCACACACATGGGTCAATACTTACTTTTTGATTCCTACCACCCACTGGAACACAAGCTAAGAGTCATTAGAACCCTGGACCACTGAGCAGACTACATAGCAACAATTGCAGAAGCCATAGTGAAGGATCAGAACCACCTGAAGGGGGCACTTAACAGCCTGTAGATACCCTAAATGGACCTTTGTGAAAACAGCCAAAAATCCAGGAAGAAGACCGACACTACATACACTGGAAATACACATAAACGGCGAAAGGTGCTGTGTCATCTCAGGAAAAATCTGTGGCATTTCAAGCTGCCCCCGAAAATACCACAGGTAGCTGCCGATGCCACTATTTAAGCTAGCTGTCTCTCCAAAATCCTGATTGGATATCAGTTTGTGACAAAGGGCTATCTAAAGTTACTGCTTTTTTGTGCTGCCAATCATTTCTTTGAACGATGGGTTTTGCTCTTATTTAAATATTAAACAGCAACAAGTCACACTCAAGCTCAGAATAAAACCTACACATTTCGTTTAATATAGAGAATGCTCCAGTGTTTTTGTCATTGCTGTTTACACTTCTCCAGATGCAAATTCAAAAAATGCACCATAGCAGAGGTTTTCAAAGTGTGAGGTGGGTCTCTCCAGGGGGGCTCCAAACAGTGGCGGTTCTAGACCAATTTTATTGAGGAGGCCAGGCTGTGGCCAGTTGTTTTGTCAGAGAGAGACAAAGAGACAAAGGCAATGTTAAAGCTTTCAAAGTGTCTTGTTTTAGTATATAATGTAATG